TTGTCAGCTAATCTGCTCCCTCCCCCTGGTTCAGCCCACTCCTCGTCACCAGGATCAGCTCAAGACCTGACGCAGAAAGCTGTCCCCTTGCAGGGCAGCAGCAGCACTGGGTGACAGCAAGCTCACTGGTGTCACCCACTAAAGGTCTGTTCTCAGCTGTGCCACACACAGCCCTGTGGTCCTGCAAGCACCGTGGCACTCAGCCCAGAACTGCTGCTGAACAGGAAGCTTCAGAGTGTCCAAAATGGTGTCTTACATAGGGGACAGAAGTGAAGGGCAGGGGCCTGGTGAGCCATAGGGTGCAATCCTCCAAAGAAAAGGAAGCACCCCCAGCTCACCTCACCCACCTGGCCAAGGGCAGGCTCCAGCCCAGAAGCTGGAGCTCTGCATGACACCAGGCACACACCCTGCCAAGGGCATATCAGGACACACAGCCCACTGTGTACTATCAGAAAATCATCGGGCCTTTCATTCTCCAGGAGCAGTCAAGACAGTCTTTCCCACTTGTTCTTTCAATCCCAGGGAGCCAGCAGTGACCCAGAGAGTTTTAACCCAAGCTGTACCACATACAGCACATCCCCACATACACTGGGTTGGGACCTACCATTGCTGCAGGCCTAGGTAGGAAGCTCCGTTGGACATCTTGATGGTGTGCTTCAGCATATCTCCTTGCAGCACAGCATCACCTGCAGACCGCCTGTGTACAGGAAACAGAACAGTCTAAGCATTTCCCACTGTCCACATCTCCCAGTATCTTCGTACCACGTGCCATGGGCAGAAGGTGCACATGAACCTGCCTGCCAACTGTCCTAGGATGTAAGTCCTGGAGGCACACATACACCCAGTGGCACTGAGCCTCCTCTGGGCCTCCTCCCCCCCCCGCCACAGGCCCAGGGCATGCAACTGAGACCAAGGAAGGACACTCAGTCATACTTCTGCCTCTGTTACATCCTGTGGTACTCAGACTGTATCTGGGTTGCTCTGCTCTTAGCCCTGCCACCAGCAGGCTCCTGGGAAGTGACTCAGCCAGCCCAGCTAGCAGAGAGTGAAAAACACCAGGAGAGGTTGATGCAGGAGCAGCGTGGCTGCACTTGCCAGCCCCACACACGTGCTGCTTGGAGAGAACCACAAGCACAGCACAGATCGGTGAGAGTTTGACACGAGCCAGGGCTCCTGGCCAGGGCTCCTGGCACCAAGATAGTTGCACAGGCCAGCAGTAATGGAGACACAGGCATCACCTCCAAGGCAGAGCAAGGGGCTCCCTGCCAGACGTCAGTGGAGAGCCAAGAGATGTGGGCACATGGGACCTCCTGGGAGCAGCGATCCCACACCTGCAGTGAGAGCAGTGCCGTCCATGCCCATAGGGCCAGCACTGAGGCAGAAAGACCTTTCCCCAGCCACCCTCCTTGGCAAGCAATGAGCGGGCCGCGAAGGGAAGGCGAGATCTTCCTTCCTGGAGAATTAGGGACCGCGAGGGAACAGCCGCTCCAGTTCCCACTGGAGTCGTTATGGCAACGGCTACGGGAGCGGCTCGAACCCCTCTTCGCAGGTGCCGGAGGCCGCCGGCGGCACGGACCCGCTGCTCACCGGGAGCAGGGCAGGGCGGGGCGAGGCGAGGGCGGCGGTGCCGGTGGGCAAAGTCCTACCGGTACGGGCACGGGGCGGAGAAGGCGGGCCCAGCGACTGCGGGTCGGGGTGCCGGGAGAAGAAGAAGCCCGAGGCTCGGACTCTCCCGGAGGCCAGAGGAGGGACCGGGGCGGAGGCCGGGGCCCGGAGGCGGCGCCGTCGCTCACCGGCAGCGGCGGCTCCCAACGGGTCCGGGCTCCGCGTGGTGCTGAACGGACAGCGCCCAGCGCTGCGCATGCGCAGGGCCGCCCGCTAGGGGCAGAGGCGTGCGCGGGGGCCGCCAGTCGGGGCGGTGCGGGGCTCCGGGAGCGGTGTGTGCCTGGGAACCGTGTAGCCGCTGGGCCGGAGCAGCGGGCGTTCTATCCCGTGGGGAGCGGGATCTATGGGGATCTGGGGTACCGGCGTGCACAGGGGAACGGGGACAGCTGCGAGGCTGGAGCTGCTGCTGTGAGCCGCGCACGAGGACGGCCGGCACCTGGAGCACTCGTGCGCGGCTCCATCGGCCCGCTCCGCCCGGACCGCGTCCGCGGGCTCCCGCACCGCCTCCTGGCAGCCATGGGCGGGGGCTGGGGGCGGGGCACGACGCCGAGAGGCGGGGCGTGGCGTCAGGGGGCGGGGCAGCGGTGGTAGGACGTCACTGCGGGCACCGGCGGACGGCAGGAGGCCCGTTGGGGTGCAGCCGGTGCGCTCGGAGTTCCGGAGAGAGTCCCGCTGGGTCCGCAGGTACTGTGACTGGGCCGGACCGGACCGGGCGTCCCGGGATGGCTGTTGGTGCTGAGGGTGCGCGGTGAAGGCTTGCGTCGGGCCGCCGCCTTTACCCCTCGTCCCGGGGCCTGTAGGCCCCCGGCACTGCCTTGTCGGAGCTCCCCTCGTCGCGGGGCCGGGAGCGGGGTCGGGGTGGTGCGGGACCCCCCAGCGCTGACCTGCGGGGCGGCCGCTCTCTCCGCCGAATGCCGCAGGGCCGGCGCGGAGCGGAGTTAGCGCGGGGCGGAGCTGCTCGGCGCAGAAGCCGGGTGCGGTCCCAGCGCAGGCTCCAGAGCGGACTTACGGGCCGGGGCTCCTCGCGCAGCTGGTGCCGTGCCGTGCTGCGGAGCGCTGCGGGCCGGGAACGCGTGTCGGAGCCGTGAGCTGCCGCTCTGGGAGCCGGCGCCCCGGAAGGTGGTTGCCCTCTCCGTTGCGGCGTCCCGACCTTTGGGCTAGCTGTGAGGGACGCTGCTGAGCGTTTCCCTCCGTCCGTTCCTCCCAGAGACGCCCGGCTGTAGCTGCGGGGTGGCGTAGGCTGGCTCCCGCACAGCCTGGCTCCCTGGCGGCCGACGATGAGTTTGACCCCTTCGAGGGGATGCCTCCTGGACCTGCCCTGGGAGGACATCTTGGTCCCGCACATCCTCTGCCATCTGCCGCTGCAGCAGCTCCTGGGCCTGCAGAGGGTCAGCAAGGCGTTCCAGGCGCTCGTCCAGCTGTACCTGGCCAACATGCGATGCTTTGACTCCGGCCAGGTATGGGATGGCTCTGGGGCTGGGGGGCTGTCGGTGTGCTGATGTGAGAAAACCTGGCTGCGAGGGGACAGGGAGGCTTCTGCTTGGGAGCTTGGGCTGGTGGCTTGCGTGCCTGGCTGGGCAGATGGGCTTGGGGAGGAGGGGTGGTGATTCAGGGCCCAGCAATGCCACTTCTGCCTTTAGCAAGAGGCGTGGGGAGGATTGAGCCTGGAAACTCCACCTAGACCATTATGGGGCAGCGGCTCATGGAAATGCAGCCAGTTTCAAGGTGGCACAGCCTGATGACTGTCACCAGGGGTTATGCAATGGAATAGGTTTAGCAGGAGATGAGGGAAAGCTTATGCCCATACTGAAAAACATTGTCTGGGACCTGGGCAGTGGTGGCTACTGCTCTGTGAAGACCCAGTGGTCTGTTGTAGAGGTTTTGGAGAGTGGAGGTGGGGAGCTTATTGTAGATGTATAAATGCAGGGATGATGGAGGAGGAGGAGGAGAGCATCTCCCAGTTTGTGGCAGCAGCCTTGACACGAAGTGCTCTGTGGGGAAGAGCTAGGTGGCACAACTTGCTCCAGGACTGGGAGAGGGTGGCTTTGGTCACCTTTGTGTCACAGTGGAAAAGAAGAAGGGAATGGGACTCTGGGGAACATCAGGCTGAGCCATGCCAATCTCAGGTCCTTGAGGACACCTCACTGTTACTGGGTTCCCCACGCAGATTGGCTCGGCTGTCCCTAGAGCTGCTTTCCTCAACCTACTGAAGGACAACAAAGTGCTGCAGCAGCTGGCGCTCCAGAACTGCTCTGACTGGCTGACGGACAGGGAGCTGCTCCCAGTCATCATGCAGAACCACCACCTGCACCACATTCAGCTGAAGGGCTGTGCCCAGCTCAGCTGCCACGCGTTGATGGTCATCTCGCTGAACTGCCCCAACCTGCGGCGGCTCTCCCTGGCTCACTGTGAGTGGGTGGACAGCCTGTCCTTGCGCAGCCTGGCCGACCACTGCAAGGCACTGGAGGCTGTGGATCTGACTGCCTGCCGGCAGCTGAAGGATGAGGCCATCTGCTACCTGGTGCAGAAGTGCAGCAGGCTCAAGTCTCTCTCTCTAGCTGTCAATGCCAACGTGGGCGATGTGGCAGTAGAGGAGACTGCCAAGTGCTGTCCTGAGCTGGAACACCTGGACCTCACGGGGTGTCTGCGAGTCAAGAATGACTCTATAAGGTATTGAACATTGTGGGAAGTAGGGTGCGGAAGGCAGGTGTCCAGGGTGGGTAGATGAGACCTTGGGAGGGAAGTCTTGGAGCAGAGCCACTAGCAGGCCCTCTGTGCTACTGAAAGCAAACTTCCCAGCACGTTGTGGAGGGTATCTGACCATGTCCTTTTGATTCTCTTGGACCACCATGGTGCTGTTTTCAAAGGATGGTATGCTGTGGCTGCTGGGAGTGAAAAAGAGGTTGTGCTGATGAGTTATGCATATGGGAGTCTGGCATGCAACCTGCATGTGCTCTGTCTTGTCAGGGTTCTGGCTGAGTACTGTCCCAAGCTGCGCTCGCTGAAGGTGAAGCACTGCCACAATGTGGCTGAGTCCAGCCTGAGCGTTCTCCGAAACCGTGGAGTGGAGCTGGATGTGGAGCCTCTGCCGCAGACGGCTCTTGTTCTCCTGCAGGACATGGCTGGCTTTGCCCCTTTCATTAACCTCCAGATCTAGAACTGCTGCTGCTATTGGGGGGGGAGGGGGGGAAGGCAACATGTCACTGAGATCCCTGGTGGACACTGGAACTGGTTGCTGCTGAGATGTGCAGAGGGAGAAGTTGATCCTGCTAGTGAGGCTGGCCCAAAAAAGGCTCACTCTTCTCTCTGGGGCTGTTTAACAGCCACTGCACATTTGTGAGTGAGCTCTGTGTGTGCCTCCTGGGGAAGTAACTCCCTCCGAAGCAGTGTGGAGACAGTGAGGGACTTGCAGGAACACCATAGTGCTGAACAAACCAGCCAATACACAGGATTTATTATTTGTTGTTTTTTGAATTTCAAAATTGCAGTTCTCCAGAGAGCAGGAGAATGTTTGATGAGGGCTGTGGACTGTCATCTTCTGAGGAACTTGTGTAGGACATGCCAGCAGAGCTGTTGAGAACAATCCATGCTAGCTGGAGTAGTAAAGAAAAAAGGTGGCAGCCCTCATTCTGGTAGGTGAGCTTTGGGAGGAAGGCAGTGTGAGCCCAGCATACGTGTGCAGACTTAGCACCCTGCCTTAGGCACTGGGTTAGCACAAGACAGTAATTGTTTTCTAGGGGAATCTGCTCCTAACTGTGATTTCAGTAGAGGAAAAGCACCAAACCTCATTGTGCTATTGCTGAGAGCAGTTGGTTCTTGCTATTTGTTTCTTCCAGATTCTGATTTACATCTCTGTAGTACCCAGACCTGCTCCTACACCCTGCTCCATGTTGCACAGCTGTAGGCTTGTAATACAATAGTGGTTAGAAATGGCAATTGCCAAATGACCTGGCCATACTGTCAGCTGGAGTTCATGGAGTGCTGTAGGTTGTGTTGGCAGGGAGAGCCCAGCTCTTGTTTAGAGTCTAGCCTCATCATTTGCATCTAGTAAGTGGTCAAAGAGTAGCTACTTGTAGTAAGCAAGATGAAGGTAGTGATTAGGAGATGACCCTGCTTCTCGAAGAGGGATCAGAGGCAGGGTCTGTAAAGCATGTGCATGCTTCAGCTGAAATACACACCAACTCACATCATCTTTATTAACGCTTGCACTCAAAGCAACAGTGCACAGAGATTTCTAAAAAGCTTGCTGCAAAACCACAAGCTACATCTTTAGATCTAATGTCCCATGCAAGGAATAGCAGAGAATGCCCAGGCTCCCAACAGCCATTGTGGTGTGCCCCAGGGACAGAAGGGCAGCTACACAAGAAGAGGAAACTTGACCTTATCAGCTAGGTTAGTTCAGGAAGCTGTCCTGGCTCCTAGGTTAGTTTCAGTTAGTGTTGGGTGGGGGAATCCCTTCATCCCTAGTGCCACATGTCCATCCTCCACACCTGGCCAGTGAGGTGGAGGCTGAAGAGCAGGAGGACACAGCCGTCAGTGGAACTTGTACTTCCTGGCTGGTTTGAGGCTGATGTAAGTCTTCTTCATCTCCTCACTCTCTGGCTTCTTTATGTCTTTGTACCTCTCTCCCTTTGTACTCACCACCTGGTTATCGATGTAGCGGATCAGTTTCTTGGGAGCCTGGAGAGGAAAGACATAAACATCACGTGGACAGCCACTGCTGGGGAAAGAGGGTGACAAGCGTAAGCTTGTGCTTGGGGAATAAGGAAAAAGCAAGACTAGGTTGGGATGAGTTACCTGTCCTTCATGTTGGGAGTCTTAGCTAAGAATGGGATCAAAGCAGTCTGAGGAGGGGGCAGAGGGGAAAAGCTGGAGGGAGCAAGAACTATGCTAGTCAGGAGTGCCAGATAATCACAGACCCTGCAGTAGCACCTCTTAGCTGACTGGTTCTCCTTTGAGACTACCTGCTGCAAATTCCCTTGTGTGTTATGCTGCTCTTTAGATGTGCAGCCTGCTCTTTAAACCTTGTAGCCAAAGGCATTCAAATTCCTGTTGAGCTGGAACTGTGCTATTCTCACCTCTTTTGGTGGAGCTGGTCGATGTGTTTTCTGATCTTCTGCACTATCCACCATCATATATCTGAAACACAAGATGCAGTAAGTGAACACTGCAACACACATTGCCTAGGGCTATTCACAGCCTTTATCTTTAATTCCCTGTCTGGTTTGGGGCTGTGCGATGTGTCCTACTTGCACAGACTGCAGCTAGGAGCACTTAAGATTCCCTTCTGAATGAAACAGGTAAGAAGAGCGTCACCCTTCTGGTGAGAATTCAGGAGAATTCTCATGGAATAGCTGGCCATATATGAATGGTATCAAAACCTTAGGCTGCTGAGAAAGCAGCCTCCTTAAAACTGAGGGAGGTGCTGAGGTTGGCATGCTTTGCCATTAGGACAACTTTGCTCCTTTTCACTTGATGTGATGGCAGCCAAAGGAAAAGGCCACAGGGCCAAACTGGCTGCTGAAGAGATGGTATGCCTTACACACTCCATGTGCTACTTGACAAGGAGTCGAGTTTGAGCTGGAAGCAACTTAATAGAAGCATCATCTCACTCCCTATTTAAAAGGAACACCAGAGCCCAAGCATTTGCTTGCTGTACTGCTGAATTAGTATTGAGTCTTCAGAGCTGGTCTGTAGGTGGATAGCACAGCTGACGACAACTTCTCCCTCAGTAGTTAGTGTAGTTGTTCCTGTGTATTTTCAGCTGTGGTGATCTGCTCTCTGTACCTGTGCTTGAGTGATGTTTAAAGTACAGGATGTTGCCAAAATGTCATTAAAGTTCCTAGGAACTTAACTATCAGCTGGTGTTGGCTTTTTGTTTTATTTTGTTCCCAAGCATTTTACTCTGAAGCAAGCCTGCACTGGAAACAGGCACAGACTGGGATTGTTAAAATTATCTGGATGGCATTCTGCTTTGCTTTTGCTTTCCTGCACCATCAGTTGTTTACATCCTCAAGGAGTAAAATGGTGGAAAAGATGGCTAGATAGATGCATTGAATTTGTGTGCCCATGGGAGGATGCTCATGAAAGCTGAGATCTTGAAGTGGATCAATTAAACCATACTGTGGATTGTCTATTGAGAATTAAATGCGTTTGGAAATGAATAAAGGTAAATCAATGTAAAGCCACTTTAATTCCCTAGAAGTCCACAGGGAGGCTTCAGAGAGGTTTCCTTAAATGCACTGAACTTGCACCTTCAGCAAGTGAGATTTGATCTCTGTTGCTGTACAGTCTCTTAAAGATATCTTTAGACTTATTTGGACCCTCTCCAAGGGTAGAGGTATGAATGAGCTGCTGTAGTTCTTACAAGTCACCATGTGTTACCTGAGCTGCAGAATGATGTTTGTGCCTTGAACCTTTAACTGGGACCTCAGATGACAACACTGTGATTTACAGTATACCTGTAAGAGATTGAAACCTCACATAACCAGTGCTGTGACCTCGCTGATGGAACTAAACTGTGTGCCAGAGCTCTAAAAGAAAACTGCTCTAAAAGAATTCTGTTTTCCTGTCTAATCATTATACTTGTGCTTGAATGTGTTTCAGGTATATCCAGATAAGCTTCACACAGCATCCTTTCCAAACATCATACAGTCCAAGATCTTCATAGACCATATTGCTATTTTGACCACCATAACCTTTCACAAACTGCTAACTCCTTCACTGTCCAAATTCTTCTTTTCTGGGTACTTACTTCTGTAAGATAACCTGCTTTAGTTCCTCATGGTTGGGTGCTCTGCGGGGCCGCACCAGCTCCTGTGAAGAAACAAAGCAGGTGTTTGAATAGCAGAACATAGAGGGTGCACAGCTGCCCTGCTTGCTCAAATAAGCCCAGCTACTGATGCAGTACTACCAGCTCATGGGGGAAGTGGGGTGCCAGACACAGCTCCTCTGGGCTGCTGGCCTGATGTAGGCACAGCTTGTGCTTGGAGAGCTGAGGGAGACTGAGGGAGAGGGGGGTGTTGTTTTGGATCATCTTTCTGGTATGTTGCTGGAAGCATAGAAAGCTCCTGCACTCGCTTTCCATTCCAGCTAGAATATATGTATTTAAGCTTTGCTCATTGACCTGGTGCCACCCAGCTCAGAGTACAGTACCTTCACACTTGCACCTGCTGTGCTGATTTCCACCTTCTCTTCCACAATTAACTGCACTGCTTCTTCCAAGTTACCCAGGGCCATTGCTAGTGCCTTCTCTGCCTGGCTTACAGTACAGGCCGGGAACATCTCCAGTAGCAGCTCCACACCACCCTTCAAGTCATCACCTGCCTAGTTGGAGCAAGAGAGACAGAGATCTGATTTTGCAGAGCAAAAGTATCACTGCAAAGTTGGGAAATTCCATTTGCTGTTAGCTGAAGGCTCTCTCTCATTATAAAGGTGAGTATAAATTCCTTTCTTGAAGCTAAAAGAACATCATATCTACAAGGAGAATGCACCCCTTAATCTCTTCTCCCTGTATTTCAGTCTTCTTTGAAACAGGCCTTCTGTGGCCTGGCTCATCTGTTTGGTCCTGCTATATCTCTCCTTAGGAATAATTTTTCTGGGCACTGCGGCTCAAATGCTTGAACTCCTTCCCTTGCAAGGTTGTGTGCTTTCTGATCACAAAGGGATGACGCTCCTAAGCACAGGGACCTCTGGCTACATCAGAAGGAAGCACAGCAACAGCATTTCCCAGAAGGGCATGGACAAAATGATTGAACTGCAGAGCAGTAAAACACCACTACTGAAGAAACAGCAAGCAGAGCTTGAGGTAAGGAGCTTGGGGGGGATTTACTAAGTGCTGCAATGCTTGCAGAGTGGGTCATGCTGAATGGAGCTGCAGAACCAGGACTGTTGTGCCAATGACTTGCTGTGGTGTAGCTCAGTATACAGCATATGTCATTGAAGGTAGGATGGATGTCTTCAGGACTGACGCTCAGATATGACCACTAGATGCTGCATCACAGCTAAGGAGGTAAACAGTAACCAAGCTCAACTGTGAATGGAACAGGGGGAAGCTCCAGGGGTGGAGCCTGGCTAGTGCTACAGAGGCATCCTTACTGCACTCTAGGATCTTGGAGAGCACTAAGACAACCTTTCTTCTGCCTTGCTGCCTCATGACTGGAAAGGATGAGCAGGAGTGACAACTTGTGCTCTTCTGGCAGCACATAACTTTCCACTTGAACACAGTCTTGCTCAGGCCATGCAATGGGGTGATAGCAAGCTTCAACTATGCTGTGTCACAGCCTATGCTTGTGGTTCCCACTGGAGCCAGAAAATGCCTTAGGTGGTACCAGTAGTCTAGTGCTAGGGGATTCTGTCACCCTGCTCCACTGTGAGATGTACATACCTGTGCCCCAGCTCCGTCTGTAGGTGTGCACAGCCTTTCATCTTTGCAGACTCCAGCTCCAGGCTCCTGGCCTTTGGTCAGGTCTTCAGAGGGCACTTCTGTTCTGCTTTCCACAGCTTTTTGGCTAGGTTTTTCTTAAAGATACAGTGATATCTACTGAGGATCAGTCCCACTAAGTACAGAGCTCTGTGCTTTCTGTTAGTATGAGGCTGTTAGTGAACTATCAGCTGAAGTCAGTCTTTTCTTAAATGAAAAGAGAGTGGAAAGCACTACTGTTCTTGTTACCTTTGGCAAGTATAGCTGCAGCCCTACTCATACTGTAGGAAGGCAGTGCTAACATGCTGGAGTGTCTGAGCTCTGCATTCCCATGCTTTGCCAGAGTAGAACTGCTTGTGAATTCTCAAGCCTCTTACATTTTGGCTGTGGGTATTTATGGTATTGTTAAGTGTCTAAGAATTTCCTGATGTTTGTTCTAACTTTGAACCAAGGTGTTATTTTGATTTTAAATCTAGCAAAACACATTGGTGGTTCCCAAACTGTGTGTAACCCAGCATGCCTTGTGGTCAGGTTACTCCAATGCATCTCTTTTTATAGGCTCTTTCTGTGTCACTGTAAGAATAATTTCACCTCTGTTCTATCCTATCTGAAAGGCTACATCAGGATTCTCAAAGGGTAGGATGCAAGACACTAGAGCAGAGCAGTAAGTTTTGTCAATTTCAAGGTGTAACTCACCTTTATTACGTGCTTCACTAAGTCTTTCTGAGAGAGAGAACATCATTTCACAAACATTCCCACTGCAAGAGACAGATGTTGAATAATTAGGGTGAGGAATTAAAGCACTAGCCTATCCCACTTGACTTACTCTTTATAAAGATATGAGGCTTGATGGGAAGCCCAGTTACCAAAACTAACATTCCAGATAGCCAAGTATCTAACCTGTTAACTATCCTGGGATTAGGATTTGTGCATTCAGACAAAGCCTAGCTTAATCACAGTGGTACAGGTTCTGTACTAATATATCACAGTCTGGATATAATAGAATTTATGGTGCTGATATGGTTGGCCAGGCCCCCAGTGTATGGCATGCACATACAAAACAGTAGCATTCACACACCTCTGAATTTCTGCAAAACCAGGGATATATGCCTCCATCATTTCTACAAAGGTGTCCATGTCAAAGGTTTCCTCAGAGGACTCTGGTGAACCCAGCTCTTCCAGGACACCCGTAATGTAAGAGAAGAAAACTTCATCCATCCCACTGGAGAAAGAGAACACCACACAAGTAAGCAGTGTCAGCAGGACTGTTTTTTTTTTTTTTCCTGTCCATCTCCATTTGCCTCTGTTGCATCTAATAGAACAGCAGAAGTACCTATGTGGACTGTGTCTTAACTTACAGGCAATTGCCACCGGTAAAGCCAAACAGCAGGTGGTCAGTGATTGAGTGGGAAGCATTTATGGATAAATCCAGAAAACTGTGTTTTGTTCACCTTCCTAGGCAGGATTGAATGAAAGCCACTGCATCTGTCTAGATACTGTGCCCTTGTGGGTACTTCAGCTGAGCTACCCAAAATATTCCAAGTGCTCAAATCCTGATTTTTGTGTTGACTGGTGTTCTAGGTGATGTCATTATGTTTTGTCAAGTTACAGCTTCCATGTGATGCAGTGTTCTCTGCTGACCCACTTGCGTCACTGCTGCCAGTGGCTACATAACCAGCTGCCTCAAGGCAGCTGTATCTCTATAAGTAGGCATAGTTCAAAATAGGGAGAGCTGTGACACAGCAGTGTACTGTTTAGAAAGCCTTCTGGGATTGTTGTAGATGAAAGGAATTCCATATTCTAACATGTACTACTGGGCAGGAAATTAATCATCTTGGTCACCAAAGAAATGACATTGCTAGTCTGTAATGCTGAAACATAGTTCAAGGATTTACATCAACGCCTGTACAAATTAGCTGCGTCCTGGATATGACTTAAGGAAAAGCAAGACAAAATGCAGGAAAACTGCAAATGTTCCACTTGGAATTTAGTATAATGTATAGAGGGACAATTAATGCAGAGTTCAAGCTAAAACAGTACTCAACGTACCTGAGGTCTGCAGCAGGGATGTGGGATTGGATGAAGCATGTCAGTGTGTCTCTAATGATTCTTTCAAGTTCCATGTCTCCTTGAATCCTTTTCTCTAAAAACGAGGAGGAAAAAGAAAATTCCTTGTAATTTCAAAGGCATGTAGTACATATCAACAAAATCAAAAGGCAAATGTGCTCTTCCCATCAGAACAATTCATAAATTCCTCCAGTCTGGCTCGTCACCCCTGGGTAGCAGCAGTCAGATATTGGCAGAAAGCAGTGTGAGTATCCACAGGGAGTACCAGCCCAAAGAAGCCAGCCTCTCAGGCATCTCCTACTTGTATTAATGCTGACAATATGCAGTTGCACTGTACATTTAAAATGTCCCTTTCAGGAAGTAAAGATGGAAATGCAGATATGCCCAGCTGCAGGAACTCAGAGACACCTCCTGAGCAGGAATGCTGCGCTGTCTGGCAGGGAAGTGGTGGCTTGTGGGTTTGTGTGCTCACTGCAGAAAGGGGTGGACCTTTCATCTGCTAAGTATTCAGTGCTGCTTGGACTCAAAAACGAGTGGGAAGAAGGGTAATGTCTCTTGGAGACAGGAAAACCTTGCCTGGATTTTACAGGAAAATACCAAGCAGGGCACAGACAACTAGTCTGCCAGCCAAAATATCAAAGGTCTCCAGGTCAGGCATGGAGTTGCAGTGGAATCCTGCCCAAACAGGAGTGTTGTTGTGCTTGGTAAATGAGCCATTCTACAGGCAATGCAGCTGCAACAAAAGTCACTTGATAACCCATAGCTCTCAGGGGAGTTCTAAGAATCACAGAGCTCCCACAGAAATAAAGGCAGAGGGAGCTGCCCACAGTCCTCCTTCAGCTGTCAGACGTGGGCCTGGAACTGGATCTGGTGGGGAAAAGCTGTTCCTTAGCCACTCCTTCACATTTGGGTCAAAAAGACTGCTGGGTGGGCAAAATCCTGGTGTAAGCACAGAGTTCTTCTTGAAGAGGAAAACTAGACCTGCATATATAGAAACTGTCATGGACATTGGCCAAAAAGTTTCCAGGCTACAGAGGTCATCTGTAAACCCTTCTTTACATTTGACAATCACATCAGGCAACAAACAGTGAGTTATCAATGCCATACCACTGTACAACCAACATGCGCATATTAAAACTCAACATGTGCATAGGAAAAGCCAGGGAAGGCATCACTGGAAAAGACTGTTTGCTATTTTTTTAAAAAAGCTACTTCATAGAAGTACTTGCTCTCCTGTAGCTTCAGTTAGAGAACTCCCATTTAACAGTATTAGGAGAAAACAAATGTTTTCAGGTAGGAGCTCTTCATACAAAGACCTCAAGTGAGCTCTTGTGTGCTGCTTTTGTTTTTCTGTTTTCTACTGCTGTAATCCTTTGCTTGCTTCTCTCAGCGTTGCAGATGTCATAGCCTGCAAGTGTGGCAGCTGGCTGTAAAAACTACCATATGTAAAGACATCTTCCTGCTGCTCATTTCTTGTTTTTGCATATTGTGTGTTCTCTAGTGACGTGACAGAAATAAGGTGATCTTTGTTATCTTTGCAGCGTACCTGAAAAAAAATGTGAGCTTTCTTCCATCCTTCTCAGACCTTAAAAAAACCAATGGTAAGATTCTGAATTTCAGTGATGGCAAGAATACTGTCCTATGCGCATGGGTTTTTTTCCAAATTGGAAGCTGCATCTGCAAGTGCTGGCAATGACCAAGCCCCCTAAACTTACTCTTGAACAAGTCCAAGAAAAGTAACCTTCCTTTCACAGAAATAAGAGATGGAAGATCAACATATAGCAATAAAAATGTTTTTTATACCATCAATCCTGTCAAGAAGAATGCTTGCTTACTTCCTTCCTACTCAGTCTTCATAACATCTGGTGAACTGGAAATCTAAAGATTTTGTCCATTTCCATGAATAAGCCAATATTCTGTAAGAGATACTGTATAGTAATCAATAAGATTTTCTGACAACCCAATTGCCTGAACAACAGAGCACAACTGACCATGTCAAAGGCACTTTTGTGAGGTTCATGAATTAGCTGCTGGTAATTTATTCTAATCAATAGAACAGGTAAAGTCACTCATCTCCTTAATCAAAGGCAAACGTCAGACTGGAACAAGAGAAACAGCAAAAAATAATTTAGAAATGGTACTGTAGAGATAGGAAGTTACTAGCTTCTGTTGGTCTTGAATCCAACAGCCATAGGAAATACTGTTTCAAAGTGTTTGAAAATATTCAGATGTTTTCCTGCAGTTAACTATGCTGTATCTGAATAAAGGCCATTTCCTTCTGTCTACGAGAGGAAAGAAGGCACTAGGTTCTCACCACTGGGCATAAATTTTCTCTGGCATCTCACACAAATCCATCCACCAGCACACTCAAGATTTAAGGTTCATATCCAGAGAAGCCAAACTGCCAACGTTAGCCCGACTCTGAAGAAAGGAAACCTTTTAATGACAAAAGCAATCTTACAATGGAGGATAGAAGGAGGTGAGGTGAGTATTTCTTCATGGGTCAGCCACTGCCCTTTGCCTGGGGAATTCATTTCTGCTCCTATAAAACCACAGGGACAAACCTTCTGAGAGACAAATGCACTTGCATTTAATCACATATTACCAAGTAGGAGTGATTTTATTCCCTGGTAAACAGACTTACAAAACTTAACATCGTGGGGATCTGTAATGCACAATGGTCTTGGCCAAATGAGGCTTGTGGAAGACAAGTTCTGATGGTCCTCTGGCCTTTCTGATTTAGTGGGTACTGAAATAGAGGAATCTGATTAAAAACTTGGTCACAAACATCTTAAAATTGATTATTTGGGGAAGAAGCTGGTGCTGATGTATGTTCCTTTCTGCACATATCTGAGTTTAGAATTTAGGACGCCAAAGCACCTTATATAAAATACCTTCAATTGCCACATTGTTTTCAATGGTGATCTGTAATAGTTAAGAGGGAGATTTACTAGAAGGCCTTATCTTCTGTGGAGGAGTGGTTTATAATGCGCTGCAAGATCTAAAACCCACAGGCAGGAGAAACTGCTTTCCCAAGGGCACAACTGTACTGAAGAGGCACTATCATTTTAAACTTCCAGCCACAATTGCAATGCGGCTTTTAAGATCCCTTCTAAAGTCATCAGCTGATTCAAATATGTCTATGAAGGTCCCACTGCACTTCTTGTAATGTGGGCTTGATCTACCATGCTGCACAGGATCTGTTTTTCTTAGTTATGTTATATTTGAGAGTTATATTTAGCTTCCTTTTGTAGAACACATGTGAATCGACCTTTCTTCAACAAAAAGGACAAAAATCTGAAATGTCTGCATGTCAGCTGGATCATTTCTGAAGGCTCTTTAAGCTCGTATTTCCATAATTGTTCCTAAAAGGTCTATGTGGTGTGATGGGAATGATCGACACCACTTTGGATTTTATATTAACATGACTGACTTCAATTTAGGAAAAGGTTTCTGAGCTACGAGAAACTGCCATTTGGATGCATATCAACTTTTATGAGAATGTGAAATTGCATAGCAAAGAACTGAGGTTGCTGCAAGTGGACGGAGATGCACGCTGTAGGCCTCCAGTGCAGATTAGAGAAAACCTAGGTAAAAATGATCTGGTTCTCTGGCTTTAGAAGGTTCTTCTAGCTCAATTTTGAGTAATTTTTTGTGGGCAGTGATGTTACAGGGATGGTTTACTGTGTTCTCTCTGAACAGCTGTTATGAAAGTAAATGGCACTTCTCGTGCAGCTGAGCGTGCGCGTGTGCACATGCTTGGGGAAGCGTGGGTCTCTGGGACACCAGGAGCCCTCAGTACTGCCAGTGACATGCGGCCTCCAAGGAAACCGTCCAAGGAAAAGACAAACCTTGGGAAGGACGCAAAGCTGCAGCTACGTTCCACCCACCTACTGTGCCTCCTGAAGCTCTGCTGGCTTCAAACTTTCCAGGCTGAATAACACCTCGCAGACAATCCAGCACACCTATTTGTTTGTTTTTCTTGCTGAAGATGTCCCTGAAAGGACATCTGCGGTGTGGTTGCTGTGGGAAAGCAGGCCGAGATCACTGAAAACGTTAGCACAACCACCTGCTTGGTGCTGTAACATTAAAACAAGGCTGTTGGCAACTCAGTCCCTGCTGCTATATGTCACACTGCGTGCCACCAGCGCCCACGGCCCCGGGCCCTTACCGGAGCAGTGTGACAGAGGCCCAGCCCGCAGCCAGTGCTCACAGAGCCCCGCGGTGTGCCCGGGGCCGACCGCCCATCCTGCGCCCCCTGGGCCCGAACTCGGGAGGCCTTCACGAGAAAGGAGAGCTCGGTTAGCCGCGCGTGGAGGACGGCGCGTTTCTTCCTTCCCGGCGCACGGCCGCTGCTCATCCCGAGCTGTGACACCGGACCCAACGCGCGGGCAGAGCGGCTCTGGGACCCGACCGCCGCTCGCTGCCCCTCGCTGCGGCGGCGCGCAGCCCGGGGTCACGGCGCACCGAGCTTCCCGCACGCCGCCCCGTGCCCCGGTCCCGGGAGCGGCGGTGCCGCGGGGTCCCCGCGACAACGCGCGGCCCGAGCCGCCTCGGCAGGGCTGCCCCAGGGCCTCCCGTCCCCGCCCGGCCCCGCGCCGCCCGAGGGCCCCGCCGGCCCCGCGACCCCCCGCCGATCCCCTCGCTGCGCGGCCGCCGCCGGGAGGCGGGCTGCGGGCCGGGGTCACCTGATCGCCGCGCGCCCCCCCCGCGGCCTCACTCTCTGCCGGCGCACGTCCCGCGCAGCGCGGTTGAAAACGTCACGTGGGCGCACGCGCCGCCAGTCGCAGAGGCGGGAGCGGCGGGATAGAGCGGCGTGCTGCTGGCGCGCTCTCCGCGCCGCCATCTTGATTGTGGGCAGGAGCTGTGGGGCGGCTGTCGCCCACAACCGGTTTTCAGTGTCTTTGGGTTCCGCTTCTGTTTTTGCCGCAATTATCCGGCTAGTCTACGTTGCTTTTCCTCTGCTCTGCGACTTGCGTTTGGTGTAGTGGTTATAAAGTCCCCTGAACAAACGTCAGATGTCCGTGGTCGCTCTAAGTCGCAGCCCTGCTGCGTGAGGCCGTGCTGAGAACGCGGCTGCTGCTGGCGGCACGGGGAAGCAGAAGGGCAGTTTTCAAGGAAAATGAAGTAATGCGCGTAAAGCCCTTGGGACATAGCGTTCTTAAAGTGAATGCGAACTGCTGCGGTGCTCTTGTCTGAAGTAAGCTGTGCAGAGCAGGACTGCCTGAGCTAGCACGTGGTAAGGACGGCACCGAGGTTCCTCTGGCTTTTCACAGCACCCTTATTTGTGGGCAGGATTTCTTTAGTTTTGGGTCGCTCTACTCTGCGCTTTCCTGGTCTTGCTTGGACTTGTAATACTGGTAATAAACACTGGTACAAATGTAGCTTCTAATAGCTCCTTAATCTAGAGGTAAATTCAGAGGATTTTTGGACCTAGAAATCAATAAAAGCCCCATAGGGGGCTCGCCATATAAACACACAGAACACAGTCTTATAGAGGGTTCAGGTGGAAGGAGCGGCATGGCAGGATGGTGTGCTTGGAGAGCCCTTCTACTCCTCAGTCGTGGGCTGCTGTAAACCAGGCAGGTGAACGCACCATCTCGCTATGGGATGGAATTCATATTCATTCACAAACACAATGAACAATGCATGTGTTTTTAATCAGGCTAGAGGAAAATTGTTCCTTCTGCTCCTTCATTACTATCTCCTTGTTGTATAATATACTTGAAATAAGTTGGTTTTGTGGAATTATGGACAATATATGTATCTGAGTAATTCTGACTGTTACATATGCATCTCTTTGATACCTGAATTGAGATTGCAACAAAGAATGCGTTCTATACACCTGTTGTGGCCCCCTGCTTAATGCAAACATATTCCCTACAATGGTTCTGTGTTTTTTGTCTACTCTGGTTTTAAAAGGCTCTGCTGACAGAGCTTAATCTGAAGAAAGGAGTTTATTTTGGGGGCGCATTTCTTGATATTGTGGCTTTAAAAATATATATATTATTTTTAGTTAGTTCCATCATACATCTGCGTGTGTCGTTGAGACTGTTGAAAATACTTTCTCTTCCCTTTGGTAGGCCAAGAGCATCAGTGCATAGATTGAGCTTTGTCCACTACTTTTGTACTTACCAAACCAAACTAGTTTTTAATTATGATCTGCCTTCAGTCTTTTGCTCATGTTCACTTTTGCAATTTAGAATAAATGTATTTTGAGAACAAATGTCACTTAAAAAAAATCTGTTCAGCAACTAATGTTAATTCTCGCAGCACTACGTAAATTTAAACAACCTTACATGAGGAAAGCCTCTGCACATCCCTTTGAAAGCGCAGACCTCAGCCCGACTTCCTGCTCCAACCAAAGGAGACTCCAACTCTCCAATTCCACTTTTGCAGGCACGTCGAGGCACTGCCGTTTTCCACACCGAACAAGAATGGGATCCTGAAGCCCTCTGGTGGATGTGCTGCAGAAGGCAGAGAGCTGAGGAGAGAGTAAGTAAACTTCGAAAATGCAATTGCCATTTTCTTATATTTATTTCCCAGTTGATAACAAATGTGCTTAATTTGAAATCCAAAAGATGTTTATTTCTGCCACTCAATTTCAGAGACTCACAGGTGAATAAGCCTGCATTTAAAGGTTATAATTATATTTCTTAGAGCCTTTTTGTCTTTATTCTTCATTGGTAGAAGGAAAGTTCTATGTGAATATATATATATATACATATGCATATATTTTGTTGTTATCCTTGTCTCCTCTTATTGCGACATGTACATTTTTACAGTTACAAAGGTCTTGTAACAGACGCTTCTGAGGTTGTCTGTGACAAACAAATCTGTTTCAATCACAGGTATAAAAACCTTTAAGTGACAGAAATGGGTAATTTATCTAAAAATAAAGAGCACAGTAAGTGAATAATAAGTAAATGAATAATTTGTCTGTCATCTTTCTGTCAGAGAACTCATTTGTGCTTCACGTATTTTACATACAGTAGGCTGGAGCACAGAAAGATGACATTTATTTCCAAAAATTTCAGTATGTGTCTGTAACAGAGCTGCAAAGAGGAGACAAGAATTTAGGTTCCCTGACTCATCCTGCACCAACAAGTGTGCTACTTTGGAGCGTTTTGAGGATGTGAAAAAACAAAGCAGCTAGGGGACAAAGTCTTTTTTCAATGTCTGGTTATAACACACTTAGGAAAGCTGGTCTATAAAGGGACAAGGGTGTGTGTACGGAGCTGCTCCGTTAGTCTGACCAATTTTAAAAGAGTGTTAAAAAGATGAAACTAAAAAGCCCTGAAGAGATGGAGGCTTTTGTTTTTCAAAAGGCCCTTGGTGCTGTTATACTGCATGGTGATGTACTAAAGCCAGTGAAAAAAAATAATTCTGAAATTGTTGGTTGGTTACAGCAAAAAGTCAAACAAGATCTGCCCAAGTAAAAATGTCAGATGATCTCACAGCTTGGAGGAGCTTTTAGACTGCTGAATACTTGGGCACAGTGACCTGTGTGCAGATGTTCTAAGTCGGGCAGCTTTTCTGAGCTTCTTGTAGGTGTAGCTAGTCAGAGCTCAGTGACTGATTCTTAGTCACTGCGTATGACTTCACAAAACAGTTGGTTTTTTGTTGTTGTTATTTGACAAGTGTAATGCAGGGCTTTCTTAGTAATGTTGTTATCGTGAACAACGGTCTGTTAACAATGGATGTTACATTGTTCTGAAGCAACTGACCTTTGCAGCATCAAGTCTGTTGTGACTCCTTGCCTTTTATCTGTGAATGCAGGCCCTCCTGCCACAATGGACCTTCTGTCTCTAGAATGCTTCTCAGTCCTGTGACAAAGTGGATACTGGACACTTTGCCAGGCCAGGCTAAATGGCTTTAAATTTCATTTATTCAAAGCTTACTCGTTTGCCACGTGTATTATAGATAAAATATTGACAAGGTCTGTTCTTCTGTTGCATTCATATGTGGAAGTCATTTTTGTATTCTATATTTTGTAGCAGCTTGTTCAGCCAGAATCCAAGTGTGAAGGGTTTCCCTAACTTAGAGCAATTTTAAGAACTGGCAAATGTTAATACTTAACTAGCTGGATTTGCATAATAAATGTCTGATAAGAAGTGGAAAAATGAGCTCAAAAACTAGTTTTAGGAGACAGGGTTGTAAGCAGCAATGGAAGAAGTTGCAGCATCTGGGAACAGGCACAGCTCTCAAAGAAATGCTTAGTAATTTCATGACTTTCATTTCATGACAGTTTCCATAGGTATATATTGGTAAAACACTATAATGATGGAGGATGGATGTTGCTAAGTAGAAGCTGCCATTTTCTAGTTTGGGCTGTATAGAAATTACCCTCTTTAAATATCACTGTTAGGTGAACTGGAGGGATAAATTTACCCACTTCTCCCCTTGGAACCATTTTATCCCACAGTTGATGAGAAAAGTACACTAATTTCCATGAGGTAGCCCAGTTCTTCTGCTTGTTGTACAGAACGGTCCTTGAACCCGGCTTTTGGGCAGCAGGTGGACGATTTGTGTGAGAGGTGAGAGGTGTTGCTGAAGAGCAGTGCAGCAGCTGAGCACTAGGTGCCACTCTGAGGCCGCAGTAGGAGCTTAGCAAGTCTGCAGCAAGAGCCATCCTGGTGGAGGAGAGGAGCTCTAGCTCCCAAAAAATCCGGTGTGGGAGGCAGACAGGCCATGCTCCTTGCATACCCCTCTAGTGACGCTAACAAAACAAATAATGAGAAGGTGAATCGGGGGCCGCCGGCAGTAGGTTCAGCTCCCACGTGAACCAGGGCCAGCAGCAGGTGCTTCATATGGGAACTAAACCTTCACAGTTAGCAAATAATCTCCCAGTTTCAATGGCATCATGCACAGGTGTCCTCACTTCTGACCTATTAGCCAGATGGGCTCAAAAAGGAGGAGGAAGAGAAAGGGGAAAGGGCATTTATAGCTCACTGGATGAAATTTTGTTAGAGCTTAAGGATGCTTTGAAGCCTGTCTCTCATACAGTCTTTCTGCTGGTACAGTTCCTCTGCAGGTAGGTCTGTGCAAGGCTATGATCAGTAGAAGTGCAGTTAATAATAATCCCCCTCCTTCGCTGTTCTTGTGCACGTCCTAAGCATTGCAGCTTTATACTGGGAGCATTGTGCTGCGAGAGTCACGCACCTCAGCGTGGGATTTGTGCTGCTCGGAAGATGTGGGAATACCTGAATAAAGGTTTAGCCTGTTCTCAAGGTAAAGGCCAGTTAGAGAGTTTGGATTCAGATCAAGGCCCAAGTGTGAACTGAAGTTTTGACAGAACATTTTTTCTGTGAATTCAGTCTGCTTTAATGAACAGGACAAGAGTGAATATTTCCTGTAAATGGCACATACTATATAACTTTTAACTTTATATTACACAGTGTAATGTTAACTATGTGAACATGTCACTTTAAAGTACTGAAGAAGCTTCAAGAACTAGGGATAGTGAAAAGAGACAGAGAGATTCTTGTCCTTGACTGGAAGGGAAATTGGAGTAGGCCTTTCTCCTTCTGAACTGTTGGAGCTTGTGGTGTTCCTGCCTAAACACTGAAATATGTGTGTATACACGGACCCCCTTTTTGTCTAGACAGGCCTACCAGTGCAACGTCGGTGTTCTGAGCTAATGTAGCTTGTAGTCCTCAGCCTTGGAGATAAATACGTGCTGGTCAGGAGGAAACAGGAAGGGATAAATCTCAGTAAAAATCCTAGTCATTGATGCGTATTATTTCTCTTTCAATTACCTGGTATTCCTACATCAGGAAAAGTGTGCAGTGCATTGCTAAGTGAGTTATGCTGGTCTCAAGTAGCTGGCTTACAGAGAAAATGAGAGTGCTACTAGCTAGAGGAGCTTCTTAAGCAGGAAGGGCAAAGGCACATATCTTAAAGCTGAGCTTCTTTGGGGTACTGACTCCTAGGGGACACCAGCATTGCTTTGGTGGTCGGTAATGCTGTGCAGTCCTCCTGTATGAACTATGACTGAACCTAGCCTTTTTACAGTAGAGGTCTGTGTGAGGAATTTGGCTTTAACAGAATTAAGTACTCAGAAAGAAATGCTCTCAGCAAAGTGCAAGTAGAACGCCTTGTCTGGCTGTTTTGTTCTCTGTACCAATTGGTCTGTACAAAAAATGAATATATATTACAGTTATTTACAAAATGATTTTTTTCTTGTGCTCAAATGGTGGAGGATTCTTTTTGGTGCTGAGGTTCCTGTGTGCATTCCCTGCTGACCAGCTTGAACATCTGCTACACAGGCGTTGTAAACCTCGCTAGTGAAACAGGCAGTGAGGGCTGGAAGTTCTGCAGTACTTCAGTGGCCTGGCAAAATTGTTTCTAGTAAAAGGTAACAGAAAGGAATTTCTGCCTTTGCTGTCAGCACCTTCCTTCCAGAAGGTGTGTTCTAGCACAGAATTATACAGTAATGTATAGAGATATCGTTTTCCCCTGTATCTGTGTGTGAATGTATCTTGTCATGTGATTTGTACCCCATCGGGAGTCCCCTAGATTTGGGAACTAAAGCCTCTGTGTAGTTATCTAACACAGGATATTGGGTCACTTTCTATTTTCCCTAACCTGAATTTAAATGCAGAAGTGGCTACTTTGAAGTAGAGCATCCTTGGGTATTAAGGAAGGAGCTTGGTCTTTCGTATGTAAATTACGCTACCATTGCACACGCGATCTTTTATCCACGAAGCCACCCAAGTTCTAACCTGGAATTTCAAGGTTTTCTGTCGGCAACATCCATCTTCTGTGGCCCTTCTCATATTAGCATTGATCTACAGGGGAAATAAAGAACACAGTTGTGTTATTATATACCCAGCTGCAATTTCTGTTCCAATGATTGAGTGTACATACAGAATTTTTGAAACATGGCCATTCTAACTTATTTTGTCTTCCTGTCAATAACGTGGCACTTGTCCAAATTATGGATCAATATCAGCTGATCTTTTTATGTTAAACTGTAATGAAGTTGCCTCTCATTGGAGATGTGATCTTGCCTCAGGCAATGCTTTTAACTGAGAACTTTTGGGATGGAAATGGGAGAGAGAGGAAACAAGTAAGGGAAAGAGATGGGGAGGAATGAGCAAAAGAGGAGGGGGTGAAAAGCAGCAGATGAAGAAAGAGGCAGGAATGAAGGAGGAAGAAAAGCAGGGTTAGGATTGTGGAGAGAACTGGCTGGTTAGGGGTCGTAGCACTGTAGGTAATAGCTCTACTCTTCTGTGCTGTCCGGAAGCCATTGCTACATACTGGTGCAAAAACCTCTTGTTCTCAGACAACAATTCCCTTAACTTTGTGGGTGCCACAGTTTGTTTCAAACAGTTTGTGAAATTAAATACATGGAAAGAACAGTGGAAGAGCAAATTAGAGGTGTAGAAAGATGTTTTTCCCCTGCGGGGAGGCAGTAGAGGATCAGTTCTCTGGAGAATTTCAGTATGTCTGTGTTGTGCTCTAGCTGTAACACGTGCTGGGTGAATGTCTAT